ACCAAAAAAAAAAAAAAAAAAAAACGATGCAGGGAGTAAGAGCAGAGAGGAGGCAGAGAGCAGGACCCCGGGCTTCAGCTCCCGCACCTCCTGTAGCCCCTTCTGCCTGTCTTGTGGTCCCGCGCCACCATTGTCTGCTCACCTTGGTTTGGTGGTTGGGTTCTGAAATAATTGTCTGGGTCTTAGTATGTTCATTTTCCAATGCCTTTCACCTTTGGGGACAAGTCTCCCAGAGGCTGGGTAGAGAGAACTGAAACAGGGAGAAATCTAGCCTCTCCCACCAGGCTTATCACATAGCTGCACCAGCAGATAGCTGCAGGAACCCAATTTTAATTTCCCTGCATGGGCCTCAAACCGTTTTCCACATTTGTTAGGGAAAATCTTAGCCAAGGGAGCCCCATCCTTTGAGGACACTAAACTAGGCCAGGTTCCTGGGTGGCTTCCCCTCCTCATTCAGTGATTGTCCCATATGACCCTATCCTCTCCCCACAACCCCACCGTGGCCTTCCTACTTGACACTTGGTTGATAATGTTCTCTTAATCTTGGAGAGGAAGCCAATGTGGTTAACAGGCCTGGGAGTGTCGCTGTGCCCCTGCAGGTCGCCAGAGCCCGCCGGGGGACTTCTCCAGTCCAGCGGGGCCCCGAGCTGCAGAGAAATGAACCTCACATGCAGGGCTGGCAGCCATCTGGTGACATGAAATAACAGAGGGAGGTGGCACAGTGTGTGTGTGGGGGAAGCACAGACATCTAGGTCAGATGTGCTGGGGTTTGAATCCCATCTCTCCCATTTACTCTCTGGCTCTTTACAGAAGAGGTTTGATGGCTCCTGATCTCGGAGGTATGATTAGTTTTCCTTAGGGATCTAGGCTTTTTTGATGGTGTGGTTCTGCTGTCCACTGACGTCTCCAAATATTCTGAATTTAGTCTGTGACTAGAGAGGGAGAGAGCCTGAAGATAGTGGGAAAGCTCACCTGCTTCTTAAAAATCCCAGCCCACAAGTGAGATGCATCCCAGGCTGGAGGCAAGAGGCTGGGAACGAGCCCCTGGCCCGGCTGCCTCATAACAGCGCTCCACACTGAGGGGGAGGGTGTGGGTCTTTGCGGTGTGTGTGTGTTCAAAATATCCTACTTCTTTACCCCTTGTCCAGCAGTTGAGTAATAAAAGCCGTTCTTTCAAGGTAACATCTGGATTTGATACAAACCCCCTCAGGTTCTGGCATCCTATCTCTAAGTTATGGATCAGAGAACTGAAACTATCGTAAGGTAACACCTGTCCCAGGCCCTGTGGTAGATGCTCGGGCACCTGCTCTGTGCCAGGTCCCGCGGTTGATGCTGGGGGCACCTGCTCTCTACCAGGTTGCTCCTCTGGTACATCTGCTATGGCGCCTGGCACAGAGCGGGTGCCCTGTGCATATTTTGGTCTGACCTGCATACAAGTTTGGAGGAATAAAGGAAGGAAAAGTCTTCCTACTGAAGATGAGACTATCGAACTTGAGTCACAGCTGGAAGGCCAGGTAAGATTTAGCAATAATACTAACAATTAATGGATGAGGCAACCAAGCTAGTGAATTGCAGGGCCAGGGCTTGATTTCAGATCTGTTTGACTCTAAATCTTGTGCTTTTAATGACTATGAAAAAGAATGAACATTTCAGAAAACTTTACCATGAAACCTGTAAGGCAGGGTTCTACAGCATCTGTGTGCAGTGAGGAAGGGTATCTGGAAAGGGTGAGCACCGTTCCTAGGATGTTACATGATAAGCCAAATTGCAAAGGGGAGAAATGTGCAGGAACTGTGCTCTGAAATTTCCTGGAGCCAAAGGAAGCGTGAAGCATCTAGGGCTGCAGTGCAATTATTGGTTCAGGAAACCAGTGTTTATAGAACCCCCACTATGGGGATGTTGGAGCCTGGATTTAGGTGTGGTGAAGATACATGCAGGAATCTGAAGACTCTGACCTTGTTTATGTCTGATTTTGTATCTCTACATGCTTTCACTGCCAGCAAATCATGAAATGTTGACACCCAAGGGAACCTGTTTAATTACTTTTAGGGGAAAGAGCGAGGGTTTTAGACCTTGGCAAACCTGGATTCAAATTCCAGTTCCGGCATTTGTGACCACAGGCAAAATATGATTTGTTTTCCTCCAAAGGGTCAGAGACATTCAATAATTTGCCCAAGGTTACAGAACAAGTATGTAATGGTTTCAGTTATCTACTGCTGTTTAACAAACCACTCCAAGGCTTAGTGGCTTACAGAAATGACAATCAGTTATTTAGTTCACAAATCTGCAATTTGGGGAAGGCCCAGCAGGGAAGACTGGTGTCAGCGGGGTCAGTTTGACCAGGGCTGGAGGGTCGATTCTTCAGGTGACTCATTCACCTGGCTGGCATGTTGGTGCTGGCTGTCAGTGGGAGATCAGCCAGGGCTGAGGACCGGGGACCTTAATTCCTCTCCACCTGGGCCTTTCTGCAGGCTGCTTGGGCTTCCTCACACCATGGTGGCTGGGTTCCAAGAAGCAGGGGGAGGAATCAGTTTCTTAAGGCCTGGAAACTGGCACAGCACCGCTTCTGTCTTCTTATGTCATCAAGCAGCCACAAAGCTCAGATTCAAGGGGAGTGGCCGTTGGCCCCACTTTTTAATGGGAAGAGTGTCAAAGAATTTAAAAATGACCACAGTAATGGGGACATTATATTCTCTTACTTACTCTTTTTTTTTTTTTAACACCTTTATTGGAGTATAATTGCTTTACAATGGTGTGTTCACTTACTCTTAAAATTAGATAAGAGTTCATCTTTTTGGACCCCGTTTTTATTATCTGTTTTACAAGATGGAATTTAGTGTTTTGCCCATGGTCACATATTTCAAGTTGATATTGGCTTTTGGATTTGAACTCAGTCCTGTGGAATTTATCTCTTGACAGCTATCTCTCTCTCTTTTTAAAAAAAAATTTATTTATTTGTTTGCACTGGGTCTTAGTTGTGGCAGGTGGGCTCTTTAGTTGTGGCATGCGAACTCTTAGTTGCAGCATGCATGTGGGATCTAGTTCCCTGACCAGGGATTGAACCCGGGCCCCCTGCACTGGGAGCGCGGAGTCTTGTCCACTGCACCACAAGGGAAGTCCTCTTGACAGCTCTCTTTATCACTCTCCAGGCCTCATGACCACAGCCATCAACACCTCATGCTGTACTCCCAACCTGGCCTTCCTGCCTCTTGTCTCCTCCTCTCCAGACCTGCTTCAGCACAGTGTACTTGTCCCTTCTCAGCATTGCTCCCCTGCTGAGCACTCTTCAAGGCTCTCTTTTGCCCTCAGGCTGACCCTCAGCTTTGACCTTCATTAACTTGGTTACTAGCTTTTCATGTTGTTGGCCTAGACTGTTCCTCAAGCTCAATGAAAGTCACTTCCCCTCTATGATCTATTCCAGGAGAGGTCAACATCTAAAAATGTCCTCTAGTATGTATGTATGTGTGTATGCATGCATGTATTTTTATTGAGGTACAGTTGATGTACAGTATTATATAAGTTTTGAGTGGACAACATAGTGATTCACAATATAAAGGTTATGATCCATTTATAGTTATTATAAAATCTTGGCCATGTTCCCTGTGCTGTACAATATATCCTTGTAGCTTATTTATTTTATACATAGTAGTTTATACCTCTTAATCCCCTGCCCCTAACGTGTCCCTCCCTACTTCTCGCTCCCCATTGGTAACCACTAGTTTGATCTCTATATCAGTGAGTCTGTTTCTGTTTTGTTATATTCATTCATTTGTTTTATTTTTAGATTCCACATATAAGTGATATCATATAGCATTTGTCTTTCTCTCTGACTTATTTCACTAAGCATAATACCCTAAGTGTCCATCAACAGGTGAATGATAAGGAAGATGTACACACACACACACACACACACACACACACACACACACACAACGGAATACTCCTCAGCCATAAAAAAGAATGAAAATTTGCCATTTGCCACAACATGAATGGACTTGGAGGGTATTATTCCCTAGTATTTATTAATCCAATCACGATAAATACTTTAGAGGGATTATCTAATTTAAATTTTCACAACAACTTTGTTAGTTAGGTTCTTTTGTATTTGGAGACAGGAATGCTTGATCAGGAGGCCAAGCTCTTAACCTTCATGGTACTTGAGGTTTTTCCAAAATGCATGATGTTCTCCCTGATGTCTGAGATTTTATACTTGTTATGTGCTCTCTCTTTCTCTATCTTTTATGTCACTAACTTATAATTATTTTTCAGGTTCCAATTTAGACAGCTCTTCCTCCAGGAAGGTTTCCCTGATTCCTCAAGACTGGTTGAGCTTCCCCTCTTCTGCCTCCCATTAACATCCTGTCTTATTTCTATCTAGCACTTTTCATTTTGTACTGAAATCATCTGTTTTCTCATGCCCTTCATGGACTATACATTTTTTTGAGAGTTAAGGATAGCGTCTTGACTTTATTTTCCTCTCCTGAAGTGAAAGATACTTTAGTCCAGCATCTCATAGGTTCTCCTTGAGTTGTCATCATCTATGAGGCTGAGACTACTCACACATGCAGCCATGTGACCAAAACTGGACCCACGTAACAGAGTTTGCTACGCTGGGCTTTGCCGAGGTGCACGAAATGCGCCTTCTCTTCTTTACTCTCCCCCTCACTATGTACCTGTTCGCCCTGGTGGAGAATTTGGCCATCATCCTGGTTGTGGGTTTGGACCACCAGCTACGTAGACCGATGTACGTCTTCCTGACACACTTGTCCTGCCTTGAAATCTGGTACACTTCAGTCACAGTGCCCAAGATGCTGGCTGGTTTTACTGGGGGACACGGGGGCAAGAATATCTCCTATGCTGGATGTCTGTCCCAGCTCTTCATCTTTACCTTCCTTGGGGCAACGGAGTGTTTCCTACTGGCCGCCATGGCCTATGACCGCTACGTTGCCATCTGTATGCCTCTCCGATATGGGGCCTTGGTGTCCTGGGGCAGCTGCTTCCATCTGTCAGCTGCTTGTTGGCTGGTTGGCTTCCTCACCCCCATTTTGCCCATCTACCTCATGTCCCGACTGACATTTTGTGGCCCCAATGTCATTGATCACTTCTTCTGTGATGTTTCACCCCTGCTAGCCTCGTCCTGCTCGGATGTCACCCTGAAGGAGACCACAGACTTCCTGGTCTCTCTGGCTGTGCTCCTGACCTCCTCCACAGTCATTGCTGTGTCCTATGGCAACATTGTCTGGATGCTGCTGCATATCCGCTTGGCTGCCGAGCGCCGGAAGGTCCTCTCCACCTGTGCAGCCCACCTGACTGTGGTGAGCCTCTTCTACGGCACTCTCTTCTTTATGTATGTCTGGACCAAAGTGGCCCCTTCCATCAACTTCAACAAGATGGTTTCTGTCTTCTACTCCATCGTCCCTCCAATGCTCAACCCTCTCATCTACACTCTTCGAAACAAAGAGGTGAAGGGAGCTCTGGGCAGAGCCTTTTCCTTCAGGTCTTGGAAAGGTCAGTGAGGGGGCAGGGAGGGATCCAGTGTCCTTGCCTTGGCTTTTTAGAAGGAGGGTGGTGAGGACTCTGGAATGGAACAGAGGCCTAGGAGTCAGGAGTTATGGACTATGTATTAGTTCAAGTAAAACGCTAGTCTGCTATAGTAAGAGAGCCCTAACTATAATGTAGCTTAAAGAATGAAGGATACTTTCTCTTTCCTGAAGAGTCCAAGGTGAGTGATCCAGGTTGGTGGATGTGCTCAACAGGCATTCAAGGATCCAAATTCCTTGCATCTTTTTTTTTCTGGAAGCTCCCTGTCTCCAGTTACCACCACATGCTTCTCTTCCTCTTTGCCATCACTTCTCTGCTTTCTTTCCTTCTTTTTTAGCTATCCAATTATTTTCATTTTTATTTAAAAAAATTTTATTGGGGTATAGTTGATTTACAAAGCTGTGTTACTTTCAGGTGTACATCATAGTGAATCTGTTATACATATACATATATCCACTATTTTTTATTTTAAAATTTTATTTTTTATTTATTTACTTTTGGCTGCTTTGGGTCTTTGTTGCTGTGCCCGGGCTTTCTCTAGTTGTGGTGAGCGGGGGCTACTCTTCGTTGTGTTGCGCGGGTTTCTCATTGCGGTGGCTTCTCTTGTTGCAGAGCATGGGCTCTAGGCACGGGCTTCTGTAGTTGTGGCACATGGGCTTAGTTGCTCCACAGCATGTGGGATCCTCCTGGACCAGGGCTCAAACCCGTGTCACCTGCAGTGGCAGGCACATTCTTTATCACTGTGCCACCAGGGAAGTCCTCCACTCTTTTTTAGATTCTTTTCCCATATAGGCCATTACAGAGTATTGAGTAGAGTTCCCTGTGCTATATAGTAGGTCCTATTTGTTATCTATTTTATATATAGTAGTGTTTGTAGGTCAATCCCAATCTTCCAATTTATCCCTCCCCCCTTACCCCTGGTAACCATAAGTTTATTTTCTAAACTGTAACTATAACAGTTTACAGTTTCTGTAACTGTAAACTCAGTTTCTGTTTCCTTGCATCTTTAGGGTCAACATCCACTTGGATGTTGGCAAACTAAGGCCTCTGGGCCAAATCCAGCTCAGCACTTATTTATAACAACCTGTGAGCTAAGAATAGTCTTTAAATAGTTGAAAACAAATCAAAGGTAGAATAATATTTCATGGCACAGAAACATTTTATAAAATTAAAAATTTCAGTGTCTGTAAATCAAGTTTTACTAGAACACCGTTACACCATACATATTGTCTATAGCTGCTTTTGCGCTGCAGTGACAGACGTGAGTCGTTGTGACAGAGACCATTTGCCAACCCCCAATTTGGGGTCTTCTTATTACTTCCATCATGAACATAGGGTCCCAGTGGACAAGAAGAGTGATCATAGAGCATGGAGAAGACACAGCCTGTATTTTAAAGTTTCTTCACTAGATATAGCCATCATCATTTCTACTCACCTTTACTGGTGAGAAATTAGCCACAGGTCACATCTAATTGCAAGGAGGGTAAAAAGAATTGTGTGAACCATACTGACTCCATTTTGTCAGCTCCACCTTGGGCCTGCAGTCCTACCCCGCCCCCCATTTCTGTGTGACTGAGCTTTAGCCCACTCACAAGGAATGCACCCAAGCCAGGTAAGTTCCCTATTAACATTTACCCTTGCCTTCATCTGATATGAAAACTAAAAGAATGCCTTTTGCTGACGCAGATGGTTAATGGCCATGGAAATGTAGGGGAAACTCCTGTTCCCGGTGGTGCAGACGTGCTTCTCCCTAGTAGTCGGATTCTATTTTTAGCTTTGGCCGCTTTAAATTCCCCTGTACCCCTTTTGGTGATGTGCGCCGTAGCTGCGAATGCCTCTGGGTCATCATCCACCCGATCCTGACTGTATGTAAGTTACCAACAATAAATTTTATAATTGCACTTTATGGAGTTGCCTGCCTCATTTTTTGGTCTCAAAGTTCCTTCTCAGTTCGGAGGTTATTATTCAATATCTCTGCCTCCCAACAAGAGTCCATAGCTAGGCAGACAAATACCTGCCAAAATTTGATTATTGTGGAAAAGAGGGAGAACAAATTTTGGTAGACAACCGGCAGTTTCCACCACAAAGTCCCTAGAATCACAGCTGATTTTTCATGTGACCCATGTACTTATCTTCTTTGTATCTACATTCTTTTATTTGAAATATAGACCAACCTTTCCTGCTATACCAAATGGTGCTTTGAAAATTGATTTAGGAAGATCTCATGGCAATGTCAGCTCACTTGAAGTAAGGCTTAAAAAGACAGTTATAATTCAGTTCCCTGTATGTAGATAGTTGCATTCCTAAAGGCATTAACAATCATCCTTCGAATGTGGATTTTAGAAGCTACAATATGTGAAAGAGGAAAATGCTGAGCTTGGGATAAGGTAGAGGAAGGACAGAATTTCTGTAATGGTGTTTCTTTGTTTTTTTTTTTTTTTTTTTTTTTTTTTT